TTATTATAGTAAAAAAGTTAGATGTGACTGTTTTTAAGAGTTTTTTACTGTAAAACTCGAATCGGTGAAATGAACAGGACCCTAGAATATTTGGCGAGCGATCACAGTTGGTGTGGTTGTGGGAGTAGGATCATCATAACAACTAGAGATACGGGAAGTGTTGAATAATATTTAAGCTGATTGAATATATGAGGATGATGAATTAAATTCTCATGATGCTCTTCAACTACTTTATAGCATTCTAGGGAAACTCTCACTCACCAGATTATGCGGAAATGTCAAAAAAATGCGGTCACTAAATATGCTAAAGGTGTTCCTTTAGCTCTTAAAGTCTTGGGTTTCCACCTTTGTTCCAAAAGCATAAAAGAATGGGAAAGTGAACTGAAAAGGTTGGAAAATATTCCCTTTACTAAAGTTCAGAATGTCTTGAAATTAAGTTATGATGGCCTGAGTTATGAAGAGAAAAATATTTTTCTCGAATGGTACAGAACAGTATGCTCAAGTTCAATAAAACTTTTATCAATGAAAGTTGTTTTAATAAAACCTCTCTCAATGAAAGTGGTTACTAAAAGCGACATATGATCGTCCAAACTTTCACAATACAAATATTCTAAAAGCAAAAAAAAAAAATTAAATTAAATAAATAAAAGCCCAAATCACATATAATTCCCTCTCACCACGAAAATTTGCCACTATCAAATACACTTCTTCTAACAGTGCCAAAGGAAAATCCTATTTTTCTTGATGAGGTGCAGCAATTGTTGATTCACAATGTTTATTAATGCATAATTTTCAGGAAGATAAAAATAGGAATAATCCGGATTTGCCTCAGACCCGGGTCATGCTCTTTCATAGGTAAATGTGCCTATTTTTCTATTTTTTTTCCTTACACGTAGCCTTTCATAGTCCAATGCTTTACATGGTGAAATGACATAAACCAATTTTCTTTTCGTAAATCTTATGTAGTGTCTCATAGAATAGAAAAAAATTGTGTTATAGAGGAGCCATATATCAGTAGTCCTTATCGTCAATTATGGCATGAACAATGAGTTTCTCAACTATAAGTATTATACCATATATATGCAGAGGAAAGAAAGAGAAATCTTTGAAAAATACACTACTTGGGAAGAGTCATAGTTTAGCATGAGTTTATCAACTATAACGTTCTCTCTTCTTTTTTTTTTTTTTTTTTTGGGTCCGAAAGGAAAGAAAACCCAAGCCTTCAAGCAGGAGACTCCCATACAGAGGTTGACGGAAGCAATGAATGAGCATCCACACACAATCCAAGCTGCAGTTCTTGAAAACCCGAAAGACCAACAGCACAGTCACCCTCAAAGATATCACCGAATTCAGACCAATCTCTTCCACATAATTAATGGCCAGCCTCAGAGCCACGGCCTAACTCCCACTTCATGAGTCCTTGCAAAGGAGCCTTGTGCAGAAATGATCCACTCAATGGCACCTAAATAGTTCCTCGCAACAACAGCCACCACAAACATATCATCATGGAAACCTACATGCTCACTGTTGATATTCAACTGTTAGAATATAAAATTATTATTGTCGGCCACCTCTTAACAACTTAAATTTTTTGGATGAATTAGTAAACTAACATCAACTACACCCAAAAGGGAGAGAATGTCACTTGAACTTATCCGGAGAGCCTTGAGGGACTGGAGAGTGACAGCACTCTTAAGCTCATGTCACTTGAACTTATCTGAAGAACCTTGAGGGACTGTAGAGTGACAGCACTCTTAAGCTCTGTAATGTTAGCAACAATAAAAGACGTTGAGGGTGTGTTTGGTTGGGTGGAAAATAAATAAATAGAATAGAATGGAATTCAAGTTTGATATTTGGTTGGATTTATAAGAAAAGAATAGTCATTCAAAAAGGATGACCATTCCTTCCTTACATAGAAAGAATAGTCATTCTAAGTTATTTTTTTTCCATAATTACCCTTCTATATTATAATATAATTAAAATATATTATACAGTAGTTATATCTTATAATATGTAATATAATATAATATACAATAAAAATATTATAATATAATATAATATATTTATAATAATATAATGATTAATT